ACTAGAGACCTGGGCCCTCTGCGAGCTGCCTCAGCCAAAGCTGAGTATGGACAGTGGGCCTCTGGCTCTGGAACGGGTAAATGCAGGAGAGAGCATTTCTGATTCCTGCAGCTTCATTAATGTGCTTTATAGAGCCTCAAGTACAACCCACTCCCTATCCAGAGCATGCTCTTTCCTTCCTTAGCTTTATATTTTTCCCATACTCCTCAAACTACTTGACATGTATTCATTTGTCTGTTTTTATGGTAAAAAACAGAGCTGTGAACACAATGAGGGCAGGAGCATTATTATTTCATCTTGTATTTCCAGATCCTGTAACAGTATCTCTCACTGTAGTCAATGAATTTCATTCAATAGACATTCAGTTCAGTGAATGTCTATTCAATGAAATTTTAAGAGATCTCATGACTAGACTGGAAGAGGGTGGCCAGCTGTGGGATGTGCCTCTTACAGAAGCAACAGTTTATAATATTTTAAGCATGTTTCTTAAAAGAGGCCTCCCTGGTGGCATAGGAGTTAAAGACACAGTGCTATCAGGCTATCGCCAGCCACTGCAGCATGAGTTCGATTCCCGGGCAGGGAGCTGACCCACATGGTGTAGCAGCCCTCTCCTGTCTCCCTGCTGCTCCTCTCAGCAGTGTACTTCATTGATCTTCCTCTTCTGCTCCCCACTCTATCTCTGGTGAGTCCTCTCATGTACCCCCATATACCTCTGACCTGTACCCCAGTTCTTGTATACATAAATAAATACATCTTAAAAGGAAACCCAAAATATCAAACATCCCTCTTGTCTAAAAATACATGTTGCTTTGGAAAGCAGCCAGAGTGTTCTGCGTAGTCAGCACTTATCACAGCTGCGATTTACTGAGCTACTCAGCCATGGAATTGCCCAGAAAGAAGCCTTGCCTCCTGAGCCCCTCGCCCAAATGATCACCCAAAGCCCAGATCCTATAATGGCTGGTGGTCTTGGAGGTGTGTGCTGTTCCTCTCCCCCCGCACCCCGTGACTGCAAATCTCTCTTGATCAACTATTGGCATTAAACCTTCATCTGTCATGTTCTCCACCACCCTATTCCCGGGCTCCATTTTTCTGGTATCAGGGATCCACTGGCCTTCAAGCAAAGTTCACTGGAGCGCAGCTGACGCAGCTGACGGGACTCAGCTGTTTGCCCTTTTATCCGAGTGGCCTGTGGGGAGCAGAGATTTAAGTCTGCTCTAGGTTCAGATGGTTTGTTACCAATGAAAGCCCACAGCGCCCACCGTTTTCTTCCAGTTAAATGTCAATAGCTTTACTTATGGTTATGATGGTTTCCTCTGTAACAGCTTGACTCTAAGGCCACACAAGCAGCAAGAACAAAAGGGAAGGGAGAAACTAAAAAAAAAAATCTGGAGTTGTAGCTCTCAGCCCTAGTGACCTTGAGGGAGGGTGAGAGTTTATAACCTTTTGGGTTACAGGCTCCTGTTTAAACGGACCCTCCAAGGACAGATGCCCTATCCACCTGGGCCCTGGGGCACAGGTTGTGTGGAGGAAGCCAGAGGGGCTTGCTGACTTCTAGACCTCTTGACTTAATTGTTTTTCTATTGTGCATCTGATACCCTGCTGTGATTTTTCTGCTGGGCTGCTCCAGCAGAAACACTATCTTAGATCTCAAATTATACTGAACAATTTTGACATTCTGCGAAAGTGAGTTTCAGATCAAAATGTTCGCAGTTCATGCAAAGAAATGTTCAGTACCTGTACATACCTTTTTCTTAAATAATGAGCCTGAGGGCTCGCCCGCAGTAACTGTGACTTAATGGGCCTCAGATCACCTAATTATCTTAACATAACCCTTGCCTTCCGAAAGAGTCATCTCTGCTCAATGCCTGGCTTGTTTTTAATTTACTCACTTATTCCCCTTATTCCTAATATTCTGAACACCTATGAAAGCACCCTGACCCCATGATATAGAACACTGATGTAAACTCCAGTTTTCTATCAATGATAGGCTTCTTCCTTATACCATTTAACAGCAGAAAATTCCAAAGGCTTTGGTAGTATTTCCACACACAGCTCTCTTGGCTAAGATGTGAAACCACTGCAATAGGGGTTTAGTGTCTAAATATTGCAGAGATTGTTTTGGTGAAGAGATAGGATTGCAAGACTGGGAGGGAGATTGCTGTAAAAGCCAAAACTCCATAGGTGCTCTTGGGGCCTTGGGGGTTAGACAATGGAGGAGAGTAAATGGATGTTGTACCTCAGCACCCACACAGGAATGCAGATGGAGTGGAGTGGGGGGAGATAAAAGAAACTGGGTGAATTCTGAGATAACAGAAACCATCCTGATTCACAAGTGTGAATCTCCATTCCTGCCCCTAAGGACACCCAGCACTTAGGGAAGATGCTGGTTCAGGTCAGCAAAGTTGAATCTTCAGTTAGGAAAGTTCATGAACATTGAGACAGGAAGGTTCACCAGGTGACTAGAGATAGCAGGAGCCAAGAAGCTGGCTGGAATCTTGAAGATTTCCACTAGCTGGTTGAGGGCTTCTCCAAAACCACAGGGTAAAAAAGCAGCAAACAGTACGATGTTCAGGGAAAGTGGTAAGGACACAGACAGAGAGCTACAAATTCTCAGAAGATTGAAACTAACTACAATAGACAGGTAGGCAAGTGTTGCTTCATGAAGGCCTCCAAACACTTCCTGGAATAGAAGCAAGTGTCACGTGCCTCTCAGGAAGGAAACTAATTGGACCCAGCTGGAGGTTCATTCACTCAATGGACATATGGAGAACCTGATCTCCGGACACCCGGGCGATCAGAGGCAGGGTTGGCTTTTTGGGGACACCTTTAGAAATAAGAGGAGGTGTGGTGGGCTTGAGTTGTTGAACGATGTTTGAGTAGCTGGGAGAACTAAAGTGACAGAGAAGATCTGATGGGCTTGGGCAATCGGACGGATGTAAATGTTTGAGGGTCTCTTATGCCATTCAAGGGCTTCGGCTGGACAGTCTCAGTATGAAGCCACTCAAGGATTTTTATTTGCGTTTATTAAAAATTTTCCAAAGTAATACATGCACAAGGTAAAAAAAAAATTAAATAATACAGGACTTCAAATGAAAAACACAGTTTTCTACCCCACCCTTTTCAACTCTATTCTGATCTCAAGGCAAGGCTTTTAACAATTTCTCCTTTGATCTTCTGGTAACTAATTTCCTACCATTAAATAATGTTTGAACAATAATTTCTTGATTTATTAACTTTAGGCAATCTTTAATAATTCATTATAAAAGATAAGGATTTAACTTACACTATCCCCACCATTCCTTTCTCAAATTATTGATAGATGGGACATTTAAAATACTTTTATTGGTTGAATTTATCGTTTTGCTCAGTAGACCAATTTTTGGGCTCTTGTTCCATTAACTGTCGATTTTATCTTTCATTTCCACTTGAATATATAAGTAGTCCTGGTCTTCTGTTCACCTCTCTTCCCCCAACTAATGCTCAATTTCTTTCTGCTTTTCCTTCTGTTTCTGGATCAATTACTTTCTATCACAATTCTGAATAAGAAAGGAAGCCTTTCATAACCAATCTCTAGGCTGATCAGAGTCCCAATACATAGCATCTACATTATTTTGGCTGTTTAATAAAAACCGTTTACCGAGAACCAAGTAAACTAGGGCATTTTCTTCCATACACATCCAAAGCAGGGTGTCTGAGCTTCTCGAAAGGGGAAATACCTACCGCCGTTGCCAACTCGAGTCTCCTCTTAGAATCTGTCTCCATGGAAACTTTTGCAGCTGTTTCATAAACAGACCTGAAATTCTTGCTATCTTTTTCGGTTTGTCTTCTTTTCTTTTGACTAAAGAGGACTGGTCCTCTACCTTCTCAAACATTCCAGCTGTCCAAAGAATCTGCCTATAGGACAGATTCTCCCCCAGGAGGATCTGAGGCCTGCTCACCTGGGGTGGGTCTACGGATTTCATTTTCTGGATTTTGTTTCTTCCTCTTTTCTGGCTTCTCTCCTCATTTTGCTGAAGAACATCCTCAAGGTGATTTCTCTGTAAGGGTGCAAATGACTTTCTGAAAACTTGCATGTCAGAAAATGCCTTCATTTTGACTTGACTCTTGATGGTTTGGCTTGCTAGGAATTCTAGATACAAAATCTTCCATTTGTGATGATACTGCTGTTGGCTTGTAGCATTCATGCTGATGATAAAATAGTCTGCTGACAGTCTCCTTCTCATTCAGTTGAGCTAATTGGGGACCTATTTTATTTTCTCTTTGGACATTTGTATGTCTTCTGTCTCCAAAATTTCACAAGATTGTGCATAGATGGAGGTTGTGTGGGGCTCCTCATCTATCTGAAATCTAAGTTCTTCAATCCTTTCTCTCTCTCTCTCTTTTTAAAAATGATTCATTTTATTTATGCTTATAGAACTGGGGTACAGGTCAGAGGTACAGGGCCAGTGATAGGACACACCAGAGACAGAGTGGGGAGCAGAACAGGCAGATTGATGAAGTACACTGCTGAGGGGAGCAAATGGTGGGCGACAGGAGAGGTCTGCTGCGTCATGTGGGTCACCTCCCTGGCCGGGGCTCGAACTTGTGTCGAAGTGGCTGTGGCCAGCTGCATAATGCTGCACTTAAACCCTTGCGCCACAAAGGAACAAAGGAAGGCCCTCATTTCTCTTTTTATTTCTTTACCTATTCTGATAGATAAAACATTTTAAATATTTTTATTGCCTTAACTGATGTTCTCTCTTCCAGAAACTTCTCGGTTAGCTACTATCTCTCTTTTCTTATTCATATTTCTCGCTATTCCTTTGTTGCTCTCTATCGTAGGGAGAGTCGCTTGATTGTTGTCTCCAGTCTGTCCACTGTTTTTGGAGGCCTTATTTACCGTCCAGAGGGTTCTTCCTATTCAGTTTTACTTCTCATTGTAGTAGCACAGCATGTCTCAACTCTTTCTGAAGGTACAGATGCTTAAGCTTAAGAAACTCTGTTTCCTTCGGTATCGGTTGTAATTTGCAAATCTAATTTGAATCCATTTTTCTCACATGCTCCTCCCTACTCCTACCCTCTGCCTCAGCCCCGTGTCCAATGCTTGGAAATTGCTTGTTGACCACTGGCACCTAAGAATCAATGTAACTGCTGACTTTTAAAGCAGCCGGTGTGGGTTTCTGCTGCTACTGCATGATTGGATCTGCTTCTCCGGTGAGCCTTTCTCTCTGTTGGAAGCCCCACGTGGGTAGGGCTCTCACTTGCTAGAATTAGACTTTGCTAAAAGGCTAGGGGACTACTCATTTCCACAAAAAGAGAATTTTTCCTTGAGAACCTGTCTCTCCTCAGCCAGTTTGAACTCCTTTATATAGACAACAACAGCAACAATAGCAAAAACAACAATAGATTTGTAACTGGCACTATCAGGAGACCACCTGTATTTTGTCATAGGGTTGGGGTAGAATGGGGTGGGAGTTAATTTTACAACTGGGATAACTCATTAGTAGATACACTTTGCAGGTCTCTTTGGGGATACGATACTTGTTCAGATCAGCTTAAATTCTCTCTGAAAGGTACCTTCACTCTTCCATTCATTTTCAAGCTTTAGCCATTCGCTCCATTCCAAAAAGATGCTGAGATCTTCACGGATGACCAAATTCCTTCAGGGTTCTTTGCTGAGATGTGTCAATTCTCTTTTGTGTTTCTTGACGTCAACTTCAGTGGGGCCTGGAGAGGGAGGGGAGATAAACTTACACATTCAGTTCATCATCTTAAATTCAAAGCTCCACTGGAGGCATTAGACATGGAGGTGATATGAATTACTTTGCAAGAGTGGATATAGTCTTCTAAATGACTAAGGATCTAATATCTTTTCTGATAACATGCAGTGTCTGGGACTTTGGGAGTCAGGTACTTTACCAAAATAACCCATTATTTTAATCCAGTAAGGTAACTGAGGGACCTACCATACATTCTTCCTTTGAACTGATATTCAGGAAAATAAAAGGGGCGTTTTGCTCTGACAAAATGAGATGAGGGATTAGTAGCAACCCAAACACTGGCAAGTGAGGACTTCGAGGTCCTTCTAATTGCTGGTTGGTTTCTTCATTTACTCATTTACTTGATCATTCAAAGCATTGCCGTTATTAACACCTATTCTGTAAGCAGAATGCCTGGGTTCAAATCCCAGATTTACCACCTATTAGCAATTAGCAGTCAGACTGTAGGCAATTACTTGGTCTCTATAAAACACAGTTTGCTCACTCATAAAGTGGGAGCAATAAATTTCCAATGTATAAGTTTCTCATGAATATTAAATGAAACAACCTACATAAAAGCACCAGTATAATGTGGGGTACATACCCAGTCACCTCCTAACTGATAACTATTTCCAGTGTTGAATGAACAGTTAACATCTGTGATAAGTACTCACAGGAACAATCAGTGCCATGATGAAGAAATGATATGATAAAGGAATCGAAATAAAAATGTCATCTGGGTCAAATGTCATAATCTCTGTGCCCCAATAAAGCAAAGAAAGTGGTGTGTTAAAATAACTAAATACAAATTAATGAGTTAAAGGAGAACTGGCTAAATAAAGACATCAGTATCCCAACTCAAGTTAAAACTACGAAGAAACAGGAGATTCTGAATGAGATGAGAACAACATTCGTGAAAACGTCTCAATATGTTATCACTCAATCAAATGTGGATCTACTGCCCCCAGTTGAGCTAGTTGGAGTCAAGGTTTCTCTGTGCGTGTGGTGACTCTCACGGGGGTGGGTGTCTGCAATACTGCAGAAGTAACAGACTCCACCACTGGGCTCTGTCTATTGTGGGCAACACATAGAGACCCTCACGGAATTGCTCTGGCTTTTCAAGTAACTTCCCCTCTTGACCTAATCCAAGAAGAGATTTTTTTACCTGAAAGATGGGATGGAATAAAGAGACTAAACCCCAAGTAGCTCTTAAAACCTGCTGTGGATTTAGAGCCTTTCCTGTAGGAGCCTAAAGCAGAACTGGAACCTTCAGGAGTTGGGTGTGGAAAGTGCAGGAAGTCATCCTACTGCACCCGAACTGCCACCCACAGTGAAGTCCAGCGTGAGGCTGCTCAGCGTGGAGTAGGTAATAAAAACGGTAGCTGATATTTTCTCATGCCTGCTTGCTAATGCCTGCTGATAGCCAACTTTCTATCAGTTGAGAAGTACTACAATTTAATCGTCACAATCATCCTACAAAATAGGTCCCATTTTATAAATGAGAAAACTGAGTCACAAAAGAGTTAAGTAGCTTGCCCAGAGTACTACCACCAAGAGGTGACAGACCAGGATTTGGACTCGGGGAGTGTGTGTGAGAGCTGACAGTCTCCAGCTCCAGATGTGGGGAGAGGAGAGAGAACAGGGAGCTCTCTAAGCTGCAGACTGGCAGGAAACAGAGCATTGCCTGGAAGGTGCCGTCCTCCTCAGGACGATCTTCACAGCTGCCCTTGAGGCGGGAACTGCACGCCCATTCCACACACAAAGAAACAGGAGCACAGAAGTTAAAGGTCATTCCCAAAGCTAACCCTAGTTGAGGGACTCCTTCCACTACACCAGGCTGTCTTTCAAGCTCTTTGAAAACCACCCAAGACTCAAAAATATATGAGTCACGAAGGAGCTGCCTGGTTGGATACCCAGGCAAATCATGCTTCCATTGGATTCCGTGGGTAGGTTGTAGGAAAAGTGATCAAAACTCAAGCCCCAGAGAGGCCTCGGGGTGTCAGGAAGAGAACGGCCCTCTGTGGATCACGGCTGGTGACAGTGCCCAAAGGACTGATCTGGGCTCCTGAGGGAATCTGAGAGGCCACAGGAGGGGCTCAGCCCCCCACTAAAGGCTCTGCTCCTGAGAAAACCTGCTTCCACTTTCTGCCGCGTCCTTCACCCACTGCCTGGAGACTGGGAACCAGGATACGGGAGCACTAGCTGGGAGGACAAAGCTGGACGCCTGTGACACAGAGGTCGAGGAGTGACCCCCAGCTCTGCCTACCTCCCCAAACCTCTCTACCTGCCACCTCGCTGGGCACTCCTTACATCTGTGTGAGGAGGTACAATTTCATAATATTTTCCTTCCACTCGGGCAGGTAGGCCAGGCTGGTCGCCACCTCCTTCTGGATCGGCCAGGCCCAGGCCTCAAAGAACGGAGCCAGATTCTTCTGCACTTGGTGGGAGAACATCTTCACCCACAGATTCATTTTGTCGACGTTGTCTGTGGGCAAGTTGGTCTGGTTTCTATACTCCGTGAACATACGGATGAATGGCTCCCAGCCAAAGGCCTCCTGGAGCTAGAAAGGAGAAGAAAGCAGGATGAGACATCTTGTCTACCAACACGGCCCAGCCATCATGGTAACAGAGGCAGGAACTGTAAGATGAACCCCTTTACCACCCCTCTCTCCCAATTTACCTGTGGCCACATGTCCTCCTGCCTCTCATTTCTGATGTTAAGAAGGACCTCACACTACACAGAGCTCATCGCAAAGTAGATGCTCAAAAATAAGGACTGGGGTCATAGCTGCCACAATCCATATTTACTACTAATAAAATTATTCATACATTTCACTGGCTTAGGAAAGTCGCAGTAGGATATCACATAGCATTTAAAATGGCTGAAATGAGAAAATTCTATCTCTCAGAGTTGCAAGATTAAACACAAACACCAGGGGAGCTCCCTTTCCCTACCATGGCCTCGGGGAACCCTCACTAATCACAGGCCTATGTCAGTTTTCAAGGCCTTTGAGAAGGAGGGGGGAAGTAGAAGCAGACAGCTGTACTCGAATTAAGCATCAGGCTATGTTTAGAAAAAGGCAGCCCTCCCCGAGCTGGGAAACAGAGCCTGGCTGCGTCATGGATCTCAACATTGAACGGCTCCCTAGACCACCCTCAACTTTATGCCACGAACGAGAACTTCGTCTCTGGGGTGAAGTGCCCCTCACCCAAGGCTGGGCTTCTCTAGCACATGCACCATTGTTCTCAAGGCTGTGGAGAACGAATGAGAAACTCGAGCAGGTGGAAGAACCAGAACTATCCCGAGCACCCAAGGTAATGACACTCCACAGTGAGCTGAGAACAACCAGGGAAGGGACAGGGGACGGGGGCGTTGAGTGACAATTCAAAGGCAACGGTGAGCCCACCTCCAGGCCAGCGGGGTGCCTGGATTGGCTGAGGGGGGCCGAGAGAGGCAGAGGTGTTCTGCATCCGCAGATAAACACCGTTCACAGCCCGCTCATTGTGTCGGGGAGGGTCACTGGTTTCGGACATTGTCAGCCGGCATAGCCAGGCTCCAGTGTCAGCCGCCTGGGTGAAAGCCCGTGGTGGTGGCATCCTGACAGTGCGACGCTTGCTCTACTATTGCTCAGCTTCCTCACGGCTTCCTACCTACTCTCCCAGAGTCCTCCAGAACATGGCGTGGGAGCAGGAGGGGGGGACTCTGCCCGGTGGGTTCACTCCAGGGTCCCGCAGAGGCGTGTTCAAATGGAGCTGTCACATCCGGGCTTTGTCTAGCACGGGGATGTGGAGCGGGGCCTCTCCTGGGCCACCAGACCATCACCTACGAACCTTGCTGCACGTTTCCCTCCGTGTCGGGCATTTACCTGTAGGTATGTCTCCAGTGCCGTCCAAGCATTCCAGTTTTTCACATTGGGACCCTTGCCCAGGTAGATCCTCACTCTCTTCTCCCGAACTGGGGGCCACAGAGCAATATTGGCGCGGCCCCGAGGGATGCCCAGGACCGTCTCGTGCACGTACACACACCACAGGTTGCAGGTGGCCTCGGTGGTGTGTGGCGGGAATTCCCACTCCTGCCGCTGGTGGTTGCGGCCGAGCTCGTGCACAGGGCCCCACAGCCCCTTGGTTCTGATGAGCTTCTCGTTGATGAGCTCCTGCACAGACTCCAGGTGGCACATGATGGGATAGCCGGCATGCATCCAGCCTGGGAACACAGGACAGAGGCTGGGTGAGCTCCCGCCACAGCGCTCAGCCTCATCACTCCAGGGCGCCCCAGGTGAGAGGAGCCCTCTACTGCTCCAAACTGACACCCTCCCCGGCTCGCCTCTTTCCACAGCTCGTTCAGTCAGGTGCCCTTCTGCTCACTCTGGCCTGAGCGAGCGCGCCACGGGAGGGCAGAGAACAGACAGAGGTCATGTTCTGCTGCTGGTCTAAGCCTTCCTGCCCATGCGAGCCTGACTTCTTTTTTTTTTCTTTAAAGATTTTATTTACTTATGCAGACAGAAATGGCGTACAGGCCAGAGGTGCAGGGGCAGCAAGAGTCTTCACCAGAAACAGAGTGGGGAGCAGAACAGGCAGACCGAGGAAGCACACTGCTGGGGGGAGCAGCGGGTGGTCAGGAGAGGTCTGCCATGCGAGTCTGCCTTCTTCTCCCATGTCCTCACCGTGCAGGCCTTTGAGGCCTTTATGTAGGCACAGAGTTGCCCAAAATCAATGACTTTATAGCGGCCACTTATGTCAGCCAAGAGAACCAGGCTGGAAATTTTGGGGTTCTATAATTTCTATACCTACCACCCCCCCACACACACTTATTTGTAGAGATCTCATTTCAGTTTCTTCTTAAGCGTATTTTCTTTGAAAAGGACAGGTTATTAGGAAAAGTCAGACTCCTGCATAGTCACAGGCAGGAAGGGAGGAGAGCGGTGTGTTGTTACTCAAGTTACTCAAGTCCTTCTCCCAACAACTGGAGCCTTGGTCAAGGTCTCTGATGTCTTACCCACTCTGCGGAGTCCCCTGATGGACCTGGGGGAGAGCAACAGACCTTCTGCACCCCCCACAGCACCACGGTGTGATCAGCTGCATATTTTAACACCATGGGGCCATGTGGCTCGGTACCTGCTCTCTCCACGTCACAGGGTCTCACCCTGTTTCCTTAGGCCATCAACAGTCCCCTGTAAATGGCCTCTTCAACCTTTGCTGAAGGGATGACATTACCGAACCACCCCACACTGCTGGAGATGTGGGCGGACGGCAATGTTCGAGGGCGGAGGCAGCCGAGTCTGTATTTTGGGCATACGCTTGGATTTCCCGTTAAATGGCAAGGGTTGCATCTTCTACATCTGCTAGGAAAGCCTTTTTCTCCACTGGCTGCCCCTGTTGACTGTTGGAAGACCTGGGGGCGGCACAGGGGAGCACCCACCGACTGAGATCTGCACGTCGGCCACGATCCTCTGAGGCAGGCGCAGAGGAAAGGGCTCTGCACCCAGCCTGGCCACCGCCTGCATCACCTCGTCCCAGAGACGGAGCAGCGGCTCGGGGTTCTCCAGCGTGCGGAGGTTGGCGGTCGGCACAGTCAGGATGATGTTGTCGGTGGCCAGCTCCCCCCAGGGCCCTGGATTCTCCTGGATCCGCCTCTTCCACTCCTCCTGGGATGTCTCCCCTGGAAGACAGGCCAGAGGTTTGAACCTCATTTTTCCCCATCCCTGCTGGTGCAGCACCGAGCTAGAACCCCAGGCAGGCGCCAAGGTCACAGCCACCACGTCCTCTCTTTCCATGCTTCCATGAATTTCCTCCGGGACATGGTTTGGCTTTTCATCCCTGTGGCTGCAGAGCGGAGAAGCTCACCTCCCGTCCCTGTCTTCCTATACTAAAGAGCAAATGCCTCCCCTCCCTGGTCTTGGGTGCGTGCCAGGCCCCCGCTCACCCAGCTTGTAGTAGGGAGCGTGCACAGCACCCTTGACGGTGATGGGCACGGAGCCCAGCTTGCTGCTCTGTGGCACGATGATGTAGAGCAGGCCCCCCCAGAGGCAGGTGATGGACTTGCTGGGCTTGTCCAGGCAGCACCGGTTGATCACCAGAGGCCCTCGGAACAGCTTGCTGGCCCTGGTCAGGTCGTCCGTGTGGCAGCCAATCTGTACCTGGAGCAGACAGACCCCCCCAGAGTCACCTCCGGCACAGACGGGTGAGCAGGAGGCGGAGGCAGGAAGGTTCCCGGGGTCCCCTGCACCCCAGCCTGTCCACCACACATGTCGTGTGCACTAACCCCATGAGACTATCCTTCCCCCAGCTCATACAGGCCGAATTGTGTTCCAAGCCCCACAAAGAGTCATGTTGAGATGTGGCCAGGGAGCACCAGCTGTGACCCCCAGGCTGGCCTTGTGAGGGCAGCCCCTCCTGGGCTCTCGGGGCCTCTCCTACAGAACCCAGGCTGCCTAGGAATGGCAGAGGGAATCATGTGTCTTGTGGATGGGAGCGGGGGCCGTGGGGCCGCTGATCTGGGCGGCTCACCTGCTGCCCCCTCCTGGACCGAGAGAATGAGTCCCGTAGTTGGTAGAGTCCTGGGTTGTTTTTCTGGGGCTTATGCTAAACAGGCCCCAGGATAGACAGAGACACAGAAGGGTGACAGGGACCCTCAGGGGGGCATAGGCAGCAACTTATCTTCAAAACAGAGTGTGAGTATGTGAAAGTGACTGAGCAGAGGTGGGCTGGGCAGGCAGGGATGCTGGTCAGATACCTCGCTGCGTGGGAGATGGACACAGTACAGAAAGGGGACAAACGGTTACCAGACACACCACGTGGCACCACATTGCCGTGGGGTCCCTTTCTGATCCCCCTTGATGGTGTAAGTGACGTGCACAAGACGGAAGTTGGCCAGATCTGAGCCACCTGAGGTATCAGACCCACACATTTAAGTCAGGCACTTAGCTCTTCGTGCCCAGTTGCCTCATCCCGAAGATGCGGGAGGAGGTACGTGCCCTGCCTTGCCAGTAGGGTTTAATGGATACATACACGTGCCCTGGGACCCACATTTCCAGGTGAGGGGTGGAGCCTTACCTTCAGGTCCGCAGAGGCGGCAGCTTCAGGCAGTGAGACCTCTATGATTTGCCTCCCGGGGATGTAGAGCCCGGTGCTCATCCAGCAGTATCTGGTGCCTGCCAGAAAGCGAGGGGGAGATTGATCCCTCCTCGCCAGCCTCCTCAGGAGTGCTGCCGGTCCCCTCCACCCCTCCCCGACTCAGCTGCAAATGTCACCACCCTCACCCCCATCTGCACAGCGGAGGGTGGCGATGCCCGCTGGACATCGGGCCCCTGCAGGGAGCTGCTGACGTCAGCACGCCCCTGGTCCCCTCTTCCTGCCTCACCTGGGTTGTTGCAGTTGACCTCCACGGTGATGGGCGACTCCGACGGGCGCAGGTAGGGGCTGCTGTACACGTCATCAATTTCTGGGACTAAGAGAGACAGGTCACTTCCGGAGTGGGCCAGGCCAGTGGCCAGCGACAGCATGGCGCCCCGGCAGCAGTCATTGATCACGGGGTTCTCGCGGGTGGCGACCGGGAGCCGGTAGCGGCTAAGCAGCTTCCGCAGGAGACGGTGCACCGACATGTAGGCGGGAATCTCCTCGGCGGGGATCTGCAGGAAGGCCGCGCCGTCGGGCCCCAGCTTGGCCAGCCAGCCCTTCTCCACGTTTCCGCGCTTCCTGCCCATGATGACCTGGAACTCGGCCAGGGTGGAGCGGAAGTGATAGGTCCTGATCCCCGCCTTCGGGGTGCGAAAGGGCCCCGGGTTCAGGCTTTGGCTCGTGATGCTGATGCCGAAGGGGTTGAGGAGGAGGTTTCCTGGGAACCGGGCCAGAGGGGACACGCCGGGGTTCTTGAAGGCCCACCACCAGGCCTGGGCGCCCACAAACAGCCCCCCGCCCTCCGCCACGAACTCCTGCAGCTCCTTGACCCCCACGTCACTCATGGGCTCGAAGCAGTAGACGCTCGCGTCGCTGGTCAGATGCGGCTCCACGCTCGCGTCGATGCCCCCCACGGCCAGCAGCCCGCTCAGCGCCCTCAGTTCCGTCTGCACCACGATCTTGCCGCGGCGGCCCGCGTCCAGCCAGCGCACAGCGTTGAGCAGGAAGGGGCCCAGCTTCCCCACGGAGAACAGGACCTTGTGGCCGGTCACCACCACCCGGCCACGCCCGTAGCGGGCGGCCGCGATCACACAGCCGTGGTAGGAGTCCAGGCCCAGCGGGAAGGCCAGGGCCCCGTGCACCAGCAGCTGCGACGGGAAGCAATCGGAGTTGGTGATGTCCAGCTCCGAGATGCCCTGCAGGAGCTGGCTCCTGTCCTCGGAGAGATCGTCCTCGCAGCTGCAAGACACGGAGTGCTGGGTTAGAGGCGCAGCTCTGAGAAGACCGGCTGCAGGTTTCACTGACACAGGGAGCGCCGGGCATCACGGGCTGAGCTCCCTGGGTGTACCCTGGGTGGACTTTCTAGTGAGCGGATGCCATCAACTCAGTGTCGATAATACCTGGGTGCTGTGAATGGACCTTCTCCTCCTGATGATTTTCTCCATGCCTTTCTTTTCTCTCGCCTACCTGATTGATCTTAATAAGGTGTGACATGCATCTCACACCCAAAATATGTGCTAATCCATTGTTTACGTTAGAGTCAGGATTCCTGCCAACAGCGGGCTATTAGTAAAGTTCTGGGTGGCCGACTGTTTTGTGTAGACTTTCTACTGGGCGAGGATGGGCCCTGCTGTACACGTGTCCACTATGATATTGTGGTTAGCACGTGCAGGTGCACAAAGTGGGCAGAGCTGACTTCACTCGGTAGGGAGGTTTGTTTGAGGGGGAAAAGAGAAAGTTCGCTCCACTCTGCTCATTCTTGGGCATATAAGTTCTCTGAAGGCGATCTCAATTGCTGAGTAGTCTCGATTTAAGAGTGAGCTCAGCCTTTGAAGCATTATATAAAGAACTCAATGGGAAAGGCTGGTTTCAGTCTTTTTGTTTTAAAGATTTACTTATTTATACATGCAGGACTGGAGTATAGGCCATTGTGAAGGGGGAGAGGATTCACCTGAGACAGTGTGGGGAGTGGAACAGGAAGATTGACTGAAATATACCGCTGAGGGGAGCAGCAGGAGAGGGGGGTCAGGAGAGATCTGCCACACCATGTAGGTCACCCCCTGTCCAGGGATTGAGCTCCTGCTTCATAGTGCTGTGCTTTAACCTGTTGCGCCCTCAGGGAGGGCCTCTGGTTCCATTCTTATAAAGGATTTTGTTTGTAAATTTCCTGTTTATAATCTCCTGCAAATAAAGTCAACGGAGAGCCCAGTTCCCAGGCTAGTGAAGAATCACTGTGTAAAGACAGGGCAGGGATGGTCGTGGGACCCGCTGGTAACCTGAGCCCCAGAGCTCCGTTCCGTCCACACCAGCAGTCCATGTATTCATGGCTGGCTCATGGAAGGAGGCGTATATATATGCTGTTCCTCTGATCCTATCTGTGGGTAACAACCCACTCCATGCCCCACAAAAGACCTCAGGAATTCCATCATTGCAAATGGGAAGTGGGTCCAGACACCTTGTAACACGGCTGATGGAAGAGGCAGAGTGTAAGCCTGACACTCCAGTGTCGGTGCTGCCATTCTCGTGAGCAAAGGGAGAGCCTGAGCACTGACTTTGGTTGTAAGAAAGCTCTGGAATCAGGGGGTGTGCTAGTCGTGGGTATCATTAACTGGTGGGGAAACTGGAGTCCTCGTAGCGGGCACAACCCCTTCCTGAGGAGGAAGGCATCACTTTCCTTGATGAGCCATCACTCTTAGAATCACTAAAATTCAAACCACTCAGCTAGTTCTCCTTGCTCTGATTCCAGATTCACATGGTGAGGATAATCTGGCTTCACAATACCATCTTCCCAGAGAGCAAAGTCACCAGGCAGGCCAATCAGAATGTTCTAACTTTGTGACATTTCTATTTCTCAAGCAACATCTTACTCTATCATTAAGTTGGTGATGCCAAAATAATAATAATAACAATAATAATAATAATAAAATAGTTTTCTTTTTCAGCATTTTGTAAGTTCAGGGTCAATCGTACACCATTTTTTCTTTTTCAAGGCCAGTTGCGCCCCTCCCTGGTGGCTCAGAGGGTTAAAGCACAGCACTGACAATCTAAAGCCACTTCTGCATGAGTTCGATCCCCGCCTGCCCCGGAGGTGACGCTATGGTGCGGCAGACCTCTCCTGACCTGCCCGCTGCTCCCCTCAGCAGTGTACTTTGTCCATCTGCCTCTTCTGCTCCCCACTCTGTCTCTGGTGAAGCCTCTCACCGCCCCTGAGCCTCTGGCCTGTACCCCAGTTCTGTATGCACAAATAAATAAATCTTAAAAAAAAAAAAAAAAGTGCTCAGTTGCTCCAAAACCATAGGTTGAAAGGTTCTCCCTTCCTAACTGAATTACCTTTGTCAAGGTCAAAAATTACTGACCATAAATCAGTTATTTTCTGCAGTACACAGCTTATTCCATTGATGTGTGTCTTCCCTTATGCCAATACCAGTGTTTTGATTCTTAGCTTGTTTTGAAATGAGATTATACTTGTTACTTTCATGTGCACATTTAATTCTAGAATCATCACATTGGACTGGACTGAATCTGTAGGCCAACCAGGGAAAGTGGACATGTTAAAATTTTTCTAGGAGGAAACTGATAACTACCTAAGGGAGTATGTCTACATCAAGTTGTGGGTTTTGGTGACTGTCGTAGAAGCAGAGTACAAGTTCAGGCAGGGATACTCACTCACTCTTGCCAAGCCTGGTTAGGATCTAGAATTAGCATTCCACAAATTGCTAATGATGTTCAAGGGATTTGTGGATCCTTGTTATAAATAAGCTTATTAAATCTGCTCAGATATTTTATTTTCCAAACTACGTGGGGAGACATATTCATGTCTACCTTCAAAATATTTGTCATTTTTTTCTTGTTCATGTGAACTAAATTCCAAATAGACATTCCATTTTCAAAATTCTGAAATCACTTTATAATCTGGAATTCCCAGGCAGGCAGTGAGGGTGGAGACGCCAAGGCCTCCTTATCTGACATCTGTGGGTATTCTCATTCCATCAGCTGATTTTATTACTTGGGGCTTTATTTATTTATTTATTTATTTTATTTATTTATTTTACAAAAGTTTATTTTTATATCATTTTGTACATTTCCCCCCCATCTCAGTTGTAATCCCCGTGGGTTTCCCATCACCAAGTCTATGTATTTATTTTTTAAAAAAGAGTTATCTATTTATGCATACCAGAGCTGGGGCATAGGACAGAGGTGCAGGGATGACTCATCATAGATAGAGTGGGGAGAGCAGAATAGCAGATTGACTAAAACCCACTGCTGAGTGGAGCAGTGGGGAGACTGGAGAGGTCTGCTGCGCCATGAGAGTCACTCCCTAGCCAGCGGTCTGTGGATAGCTTCACAGTGCTGAGACTAGACCTTTGGAACCACCAGGAAATCCCTGGGGCTTTATTTTTTGATCCAAAAAGTAGTGATTCCTTCCTTTAAAAATTTGATTCATCTTCATAGAATTGAAGGTAGTTTACTCACTAAGAAGGCTGAGAGGGTCCCAAGATCTTTTATTCCATTGATATGTGTGTCTTCCCTTATGCCAATACCAGTGTTTTGATTCTTTAGATATGTGTAATCTAATTTCCATATAATCAAGTATAATCTAATTTCAAAACATATTAGGAAGCCAAGAATCAAAACACTGGTATTGGCATAAGGGAAGACACACATATCAATTCTTTAGATTTAATTTGAAAAGAAATGGGCTATCAATCACTTAATTCACACTATCTTAATTCATACTCATATATTCAAATGGGTGGTTAAAATGGAAGACACTTTTTGTAGGGTAACAAAATCCACTGAGCTTTTCACATTGACCTCACTCACTCAGCCTGCGATGGAAATACTCTTCCTTTTATAAGTAGTCATAGGAGCTTCTCTGAGTCTTGTGTTGTCTAGTATTTCTCAGAAGTTTTGAGGGTATTTTACACAGTATTACCTATTACAACAAGAGTGGAGACGGATTCAAAGGCTCAATAACAGGGAAATGATTCAATAAGCTCTAACTCACTAGATTCCCCAAAACTGAATCCAATGTAATGTTAAAGTTATACAGAAAGAAGATATTTATGAACACAATTCAAAATAATGGCTAGAGTAAGATGAAAATATTGTAAGACTACAATGAATGAAGGAATAATATACAAAGATAAAAAAATTCTATTGTAGGCTTAGGTTGTAACACTTTAAAAAATGAAAAAAAAATTAAACAAGACATCCATTTATTCACCAGATCCACAAAATGGAAGGTAAAAAACACATGATTATTTCAACTGACACACACACACACACACACAAAATCGAATCAGATTTAACATCTGTTTATGATAAAGCTTTCAATAAAGTGGGAATAAACAGAACTTATCTGAACAAAGGCTTTGTAGAACAAGCTCATCACAATTATTACACTCAAAGTTGAGTATAATATAATATAAATAGACATTTATATTTATTTATTATTTATATTATATTTATGATATATTTCAACAACAAACTGAAAACTAAAAGCATTTCTACTAAGATCTGATACAAGACAAGGATGTCTACTCTCACCGCTACTATTCAACATAATACTGGAAGTCCTAGCTGGAGCAATTAGACAAGGAGAAGAAATAAAGTGAATCCATATTGGAAAAGGAGACATGAACTGTCCCTATTTGCAGAGATTTGATAATCTACAAAGAAAAATCCAAAAGCCTATGAAAAAACTACTAGAAATAATGAATGAATTCAGAAGCATGCAGCAGGATACAAAGCTAACACACAAAACTCTGTTGCATTCATAGATGCAAATGATGACTTAAAAGAAAGAGACATTTAAAACAAATTCAATTTACAATTGCACCAAAAAGAATGAACTATCTGGGAAAAACATGAGGAGGAGGGGAAGGAACTATACACGAAAAGCATAAGACATAGGGCCTCCCTGGCGGTGCAAGGGATAAAGTCTCAGAAGCTATCAGCACCCCTGAAGAACGAGTTCAATCCCCAGCCAGGGAGTGAGCCACAGGGTGCAGCTGCTCCCCTCAGCAGTGTATTTCAGTGGATTTGCCTGTTCTGCCCCCCACTCTGTCTCTGGTGAATCCTCTCACCCCCATACCTCTGGCCTGTACTCCAGCTCTTGTATGCATAAGTAAATAAATCTTAAAAAAAAAAAAAAACCCACAAGACTACTATATAAAATATGACACAAAGAAATGGAAACCTATCCCTGGCTCATAGAAAGAGCAAACAACCTTAAAATGGCATGTTACCTAAAACAATTTACAGGCTGAACCCACCACTTATGGAAATCCCGAAGACTTTTTTTTTTTTTTCCAAAGAAATAGAGCAAACAATTACAAGAATTGTATGGAACTCCAAGGGGCCCTGAATAGCCAAACAACCTGGAAAGAAAAGGAGAAAAACTAAAAGATCAAACTTCCTAACTTCAAGCTTTACTACACAGCAGCTGTAAAAGAGTATGGTTCTGGATCAAGACCAGAAACAGACCAATGCATAGCGTAGAAATCTCCCAAATAAACCCACACAAATATGTAACCAGCACCACATCAAGTGGGAGAAAGAGCCAGTGTGTCCCTTGCAGTACTGAGCACTGGAGAGCCAATGTTAAAATTGGAGGTAAAAAGAAGAGGTCTTTGTTATTTCTTTTCTTCTACTAATCTCAACCTAAACATTGACAAGTATTTCTTTATAGTTTTATATATATATATATATATATAAATACCTACATAATACACTATTATGTACACATATTATGCATATATATATCCTTTTATAATTTTTACTTCTTTTCTCCTTATTTCATCTCAGCCAAGTAGCTCAGGACAACCACTAATGTCATCTTCAATTGGTCAAAAAATGCCCCATCTGATGTATGTGAGTTGTGCCATAAAATAACCACCTGAATAAGCAGAATCAAGAGCTGCAAAGCAAAGGTTCCTAGTAAATAACCAACAGCATTGTCACCCATTGTCTCCATGATAGAAATATTAGCCTCCAGTTGACCTCATGCGTGTACACACGCGTGAACATACACACACATGCACTCACACCAATCAGATTCAGTGCTGGTGAGAGATGATTTGGGCATAGGCAAAGAATCAAAGAGATACAGTTTTAGGAGGGAAATGCCCTGTCAGACAATGAAGGGGGACCAGGTTGTTGAACAGAATCATGGCCAGGTCTTACCTCCCCGTTCCTTAGGATGAAGAGATCAGTCAGCTCAAGTCTGATTTACCTGATCAATCACTGCACGGGAGAGAATGGAGCTGAGGATGCTGAGATGCTCCGTGCCAAGGAGAGGCCATAATTCTTTCCTTAAAACCCCACTCACCCTTTCCTAACCCATATTCAGTGTTTAAATAATCAATACTGGTCCAAATACCAGTGTTCTTGGCTCCAAGGATGCTGAGGGCTGTAATGGGTAACGCTGGGAGTGGCCTGGGCCTGCTTTCTACTTCTGGGGCTGCTCTTTCTTCCACTTCCCTCATTCATCCACCCAGCGATGGCCTCCTAAGCCCCTGCTGAGCCGCTGTGTCCAGCTCTGTGCAAGGCGCAGAGACCACGGTGTTCTCAGCAGCACAGTGCTGCCATGCCATCTCTGGCCGGCATGTTCCATCTTCAGGACTTTTGCCCCCAGAGGTAAAGCCCTTTCCTCACTCCCAGATGTAACACAGTGTGAGCCCTTATTTCTATTCTCCCAACTTCTGGGTCCTCCAATTCTTTCTTTCATGCTGACCCCCTCTGGGTCTGGACATTCTGGCTAGACATTCTAGGGCCCCCCACAGCTCTCCAGACTTTGTGGGGCCCCCCAGGTCTATTTCTGTCTTCCTCACATTTCAGTCAAAACCAACCTTCTCCTATCAACTTTCCTGGATTAGCAATGCCCACTCTTGGGATCAGCAATATATTGTATTATGCTAGATGCTTGGGGGGGGGGGTGGAGTAGGCTGGGATTGAGGTCACTGAGAAGTTTCTCCTCTCACCGAGCTCCGAGAAGGTGGCAGCAATGGGGATCTTGTATCTCCTGTGTCTCAGCGTATTTATAAAATCTGGCAGATTTGGGCCCTCCCTGGTGGAGCAAGGGCTAAAGTGTAGCACTACGAAGCTATCCGCAGTCACTGCAGCACGAGTTCAATCCCCGGCCAGGGAAGTGACCCAAACGGCCACTGTCCTGCCAACTGTTCCCCCCAGGAGTGTATTTCAGTCCATCTGCTTGCTCTGCTCCCCACTCTGTCTCTGGTGAATCACTCACACCCCCAGCACCTCTGGCCTGCCCCCCAGCTCTTGTGTACATAAATAAATCGACCTTAACAAAATAAAATAAAACTTGATGGATTATGGTGACTTCCTCTGAGTGGAGCATTAGGTGGAGAACCACGTGAAGATGAGAACCACGTCAGTTTTTCAGCCCGAGCTCAGTTCCCCCCTGGGCTACACACTCACCTAACTAAGACCGGGATCTTGGGCATCTTCTTGGAGACTTTAAAGAAACTCGCGTCCCCTTTGTTCTCGGTGAAGTAAATGCCGGCCACGCTGGTCACGAGGTTGCCGGGGAACGTGAACAGAACCCTCTCCTCATCACCCTGGTTGGCCCAGTCCCAGGCTTGGCCTCCAACAAGCAAGCCCCCGCCGCGTTTCATAAACTGGACCAACTTCTCGGTCATGGTCTCGTTGTAGGCATCGATACAGTAAACCCCCAGGGAGTCTTTCACTTCCGACTCGATCTTTGCCTCCAAGCCCGAGCCCTCGAGGATTTTGGCCAAGGGTGCCAGGAAAGGGTGTACCCCGACTGGGGCCCCGGGGGACGAACAAAGCCAGCCCACTGCGTTGAGCAGAAAGGGAGTGAGCTGGGCTTCTACCAAGAAGTCCTCATGGGCCACCACCACCAGGCGACCGCGGCCATAGGAGGAGGCGGCGATGAGCACCTGGCCCACATCGTTGACCATCACGGGGAAGGCCGCTTCGCCGATCAGAAGCAGTTCACTCGGGGTGGCGTCTTCGGGGACATCCCAGCTGGTCACCCCATTCATAAGGGCTTCAAAGGCAGCAGAGGGAGTCGCCATGGCTGGATGGGTGTCTGCAGAGAGGAAAACAGAGACTCAGCTAGGTGAAGATGAGGCGAACAAGTAGACAGTCGAGCACAAGGCTCCCTCCTCCACGGATGGGGTCACTGTTTCTCGTATGCCCTCCCTAGGGTGTTGGGCTCCCCAACCCTGAGAATACATCATGACCTCTTCATCGTGGCCAACTAAATGGGTCAGACAACTCTCTGCTCCAGAAGGACATCAAAGGAGTGAAGAACGTGAGCAAAGTTGTGTCTCCAGAGAAATGGGTAAGATCTAACCCTCGGCTCTGCTGGATGGGAGTTTATTTGGAAATGGGGTCTTGGAGGACATATTTGAGTTCAGGTGAGGTCATGCTGGATTTGAGAGGGCCTGACTCTAACAGCTGGTGGCCTTATAAGAGAGGGGACTTGGACAGCAAGCTACAGATACACAGGAGAGAATGTTTGGAGAAGATGGAGACAGAGACAGGAGAGAAGCTCTTATCAGCCAACAAGGCCAAACTGCAGGCAACTCCCAGACACTATGAGAGAGGCAAGGGCCCAATCCAGCTTCAGAACTTCCAGAAAGAATGAACCTTCCCAATATCTAGAACTCAAAATCCTAAGTCTTCAGAGCTGTGAGAGAATCCATTTCTGTTGTTTCTGGTCACTCATTTGTGGTCATTTGTAGCAGCAGCTGCTGGTAGCCAAGACGGGAGCAGCCTGCTATCTCCTGCCACACCCCACTCGGCTCCCAGAGCGATCTCGTTACACCATCGTGGGGAACCCAGAATTCAGCCCGAAAAGTCTGGGTCTTCTGAGAAGGTTCTTTGGTCACAGTCACAGGTGTGGAAGTCCCTAATGGCTCACATCTAGGTCTCAGACACCCCAAAGCAGAACATAGTGAGTCATAAGGTGATGGCTGACACTTACACACATGTGTATGGGCTTGTAATTATTTCATTCAGGGACTCCCTGTGGTGAAAGAGGTCAGATCTCAGCTCTATGAAGCTGTCTGCAGCCACTGCAACACGAGTTAGATCCTTGGCCAACGAGTTGACCCACAGGGTGCAGCAGGCCTCTCCTGTCTCCCTGCTGGTCCCCTCAGCAGTGTGTTTCAGTAGATCTGCCTGTTCTGCTCCCCACTCTGTCTCTGGGGAGTCCTCTCATCACCCCCACCCCACTGTGGTCTATACCACAGTTATTGTATTCATAAATAAATAAATAAATCTTTTAACATAAACATTTACTTGTCTTAGAGTAAACTATTTAAGTATATCCTAGGAGGGAATCCTTTAAAATGAAAAAACAAACAAACAAACAAAAATAACTGACCTAAAAATGGATGAAGCTTTATTGATTCTGATTTTATTGTTCCCATTTTTGGAGGCAATACCAGTCATATATAATTTTCTGACCTTTAGTATTTCTGTGGGCCCTTGAAAAAGTCCTTGGCATAGACAATGGCTTCCCGAGGCCACAGATGGCAAAGCTCAGGTTCTGACACACTCAAGACCCTGACGGAGCGCACACAGCACCTGGTGCAGCGGCCGTCAAAACAAGGCAAGTCTTCAGATTTTTCTTTTTCCTCAAAGCTAACTGCTCTTAGGTAAGTTCCACAAATTCGCTGTGCCTACTTATTAAAAAGAGTAACATCGGCCCTCCCTGGTGGCGCAGCGGGTTAAAGCGCAGCACTGAGAAGCTAAAGCCGCTTCCGCATGAGTTCGATTCCCACCTGCCCCGAAGGTGACCACAGGGCGCGGCAGACCTCTCCTGACCCACCCGCTGCTCCCCTCAGCAGTGTACTTCGTCCATCTGCCTGTTCTGCTCCCCACTCCGTCTCTGGTGGGTTCTCTCACCCTCCGCATCTCTGGCCTGTACTCCATTTCTGTGCGAATAAATAATTAAGTCTTAAAAAAAAAAACGAGTAACATCAATCTTGGAGAAATATTGAAGAGGTTCAACAGCAAGCAACGGGTCAGCTAGAGTTTGTCTTTTTCTTGCTTTCACTGGTGACCACAAATAACCAGGACAGTGGCCGAACCACTTGGATCCGTGTCCCGAGACCCTTCCTGGATCCCACTCCCACTGGCCATGGGTCCTGCCAACGTCTGGTTCCCGGTTTCCAATCACACGGTCACTAACCTAATTCAAATTCTCCACTGATTCATTTCTCTACTAAACAGATTCAGTTCTTAAGTCAGTAGTATCTGTTCTCGACTTTATTCTTCTACACCCATTCATTATATTACTTCCCAGACAAAGAACCCTCCAGAGCTTTGTCTTCACCCACAGGGAAAAACCTTAGCTTCACTCTGGGTTTTGTGTCCAGGGCTGGCAGCCCTGGCCTCCGCCAGCCACATCTCCCAACCTCTGCAGCTTCCGGAATACTTGGCAACATGGACAGCCTTGCCTATTCTCGCTTCACTTTCTTTCCTGTTCCCGCTCTCAAAGGAGAGGGAAACCCCGTCCTTCGAAGGGAAGAGGACCCACAGAAGAGAACATGCAAATGGCTGATAGGTCTTTGAAAATACGTTCAACTTCACTAGTCAGTGAGAATTTAATTGACAAGATAATGAATGTTGCCCATATGAATGTCCAAAAAAAAAAAAAAAATCAGTGAAGGAGCAAGATGAAGAGAAGATGAAGATAAAGACGAAGGGAAATACAGCGTCCGACGTCGGAAAGGCTGTGGAGACACCCCAAGAATCTGATGGAAGGAATGAGACTCTGGACGCTAAGACAGTTTCAAAGATGGACCTGCCCCTAGCAGGCCCTGCGTCCAGTCACCTTCCTTACAGAAATAAGAGGTAGATTTAAGCTGTGTGTTCAAGGAGGTTCACTGCCACGTGAAGGTGCATGTGGCGGTGGATAAATGAAAACTGAGACACAGACCACGACAAGGAGTGTGTCTAGAACCACGCAGGATCTCTACCCCAATCACCCCGTCCAAATTCCACTTACCCCACGCCCACTGCCCCGGGCCAGCACCGGAAGAGGCTGCTCCCCGGCTGTGTCTCCCTGGACCTATGTTCCCATCAGTGTTGACCCACCAAGCACACTCAGAGTGAGGAACTGACATTTTTGTCTCACTAGTTGCATTTTGATCTGTTCTATGGAGAAGTGACAAAGTGATAGGCAGATGACCTGGATATTAGAAAGGCAAAGGATTGAAGACTTTTCTGCCAATTCTCCTTCTACCAGGCTCCAGGGCTGGACAGCAGCCCAGGGGAGTGAGTGGAAGGCCAAGAACACCTGAGATGCCTTCTCTCTGCCACTGTCCTCTTTCCTGTGGGCTGAGTGACAGGTGTCATGTTAGCCAGCTGTCAGAAAAGCAGGGCGAGGATATGGGAATCATACAACCTGTATGATTGACAACCACACAGCTATTATGAAGGAGAAGCTAAATCTATTTTGCATCTACCTCGAAGACTGTCCTAGATATCTTTTAAGTGAAAATTTCCAGTCACTATAGTATGTAGGACACAAACCTATTTCCACACGAAAGAAGATAATAATAATAGCAGGACTAGTAACGTCAGCAGTAGTAATGACATAGACAGTGCTTTGCATATTTCAGTACTATTCTAGGGGCTTTCCAAAAGTGATTTAAACTTCACAATAAACCGAGGTGCGTCCTAGTACTGTAGAAGGGCAAGCAAACAAAACAAAAACATGACACAGGAAATGTCCTATTGGTTCAAATCTAGACGGTAAGTGGTAGATGGCCAGCCAGACCTTCTCAAGTTCCAGAGACACCTGTTAAGTACCAGCATTTTGCAGGCCTAGAAAGTTCATGGAGGCCACATAAGAACAGGCTAACATTCAGTACAGGAGGCGGGGGAGAGGGGTCAGCCTTCTTTCTCTTTCTACACCTCTCCGGCCTCTCACTGTCATAGGCTTACCATTACGATCAGTGACAACACAGGTAATCTAAAGTGCACCAAGAAAGTAAAACACACAGTAAGTGGCGGAGTCTATGAACATTTAGGTTCATCAACTGATCCCACCTCACTGGCCCTAACACATCTTTCTTCCTCTCCCCCAGGCTGCACAACTGCCCCCCAGTAAGCCTGGACTCCTCCTCCCTGGGGCTCTCTGACTCTGGTTCTCCTTGCTTTATGAGACGCACACTGCCGGGAGGAGGCCCCTGCTTCTCCCACCTTCCTCATCCATCTTTGGCAAGGTTCTTCCTCCCCCGGCCTCCCCCTCCACACCACCAGCCCCTCTATGGACCCCTCTAGCTTGCTGGAACCCAAGGCACCTTGAAAGCAGAGGGTACCCCAGGTACAACCTGTCATCCAGAGAGAAAGCTTTACAAAACTCCTGCCCCAAGTCCCTACTACTAAGCAGCTCCACGAGGCTAAACTGCTTCTTTTCGAGAGATGCATCCAGAAGGGAAGTAGACGCAGGCCTGCATTGGCTGATGCCAACACAGCCTGCATTAGAGCTTGTTGTCAAATCCCAGAAGTGGGGAAGGGTTGATCATGGCTGAGTTCTGCTCTTCAGAGCCCCAAGAACAAACCGGAACCCCTGGAGGGATGGCTGAATGGTGCGTGTGGCTTAAGGGCAAACCTGAGGTCCCCTTCTCAGCACATGGCGGCCCTGGCCTTGAAAAGCCATGAGGATCAGCCAGCCGTTTTGCATGCTGCTTTCTCGGTGGATCCTTTGTGCAATCTCTTGTCCAACCTCCCTCAACTTCTGCTAAGCTGCAAGTGCGACGGGTCAAGCCCTCCCTCCCCACTGTCTTACATAGTCCCAGCTCAATCTTATTTGATTTCCATTTAAAAATGATTCAGCCCTGGGCCCTTCCTGGTGGCACAACAGGTTAAAGCTCAGCGCTACAAGCAAGCCATAGCTGCTTCAGTGCAATCGGCTTTGGTGAGAGTTTGATCCCTGGCCCCGGAGCCGACCCACATGGCAGACCTCTCCTGATCGCCTGCTGCTCCCCTCAGCCGTGTAACTTCATTAATCTGCCTGTTCTGCTCCCCACTCTGTCTCTGGTGAATCCTCTCACCCCCTGCACCTCTGGCCTGCACCCCAGTTCTGTATGCATACATAAATAAATCTTTAAAAAATGATTTAGCTCATATAGTTAAAAGAATATGTGAGACAGGTAGAAGAATAGATGGTAAAAAACCAAACAGGCTGCCATGTGTACCCACGCCTGCCCCCTTAGAAGTCAGACCACCCCTCCGGGTGCTCCCCAAGCAACCTCTCCAGGAAAACAAGCTTGACGTGGGTTTCTTTCAGTCCCCTATTTCCTCTTACCCCACCCTCTTATCCCCAAGTTCCTGCGGGGGCTCTCTGCCCTCTCTGAATCAGCTCACTTCTCTACTTCTCTCCCTAGATTCCTCCCCACGGATGCGGGAGGTGGAGCCCAGCAGTGAGAGGACCTGGCTCTCTAAAAAGTTAGTAATAAAACAAAATCCAGGTGCCCCTATTCATTAGCTGGGAGTGCGGGCAACCGGGTTTCCTTGACCCCCAGGGGCTGTCAGCACTAAGTTCTCCGTCTCCGCTCCATCCCCCCCCTTTCCTCCTAGGGCCCTCACCGGGCCAGACTTTCCTCCCAGGCCCAGAGCCAGCGCGTAAAGAGCAGACGTGACGCCAGGGGAGGAGGGCGGACAGCACAGGGCCTGGGGAGGGGGGAGGTGGGAGGGGGGAGGAGGGAGGGGAGCTGAGCGGAAAAGCCCTGGTTGGCAGCTAATTCTGCAGTCCGGCTGGCACCGAGGTCTGGGCGGGCGGGGGTACACTCCCCCCTGCGCGTGCGCGTTGACACACACGCACGCGCGCGCGGGCGCGCGCACACACACACACACAGACAGACGCACACACATCCCAGTCGGGGAGGGGTGGGGGGCCAGAGCGAGCGGGCGAGGCTCTCAGTCCCCGAGACGGTATTTGCAAAGGCCAAAGGGCAGTAGGACAGAAGCGATGCTGTCGCCACTGCCAGAGTGGCCCAGAGCAAGCCTCGACTCCCCCTTTGCATCCTACAAAGTTGCACATCAGATGGGGTTCCTCCGGGTTAGGCCCGCGAGTAACTCGACGACACAAAGCCAGCAAACCATCAGATGTCAGCAGCCGGAGACCAGGAGCGCTGCGGCGCGAGGTTGCAGCACCGGGGGCGGGAACGCGGGCACAAACAGCGGATGCCACCCCCGATCTGGGCACAGCCGGCCCCGCTCCCCGACCCCACTCCGGCCTCCCTCACCGCCCGCGCCCAGGCCCAGGTTGAGTCCACTCCAGCCCGAGGGCGCCACTCACCAGGTCGCCCTGCAGCTTCCCCGGGGACAGCCGGACCGGGCAGGGCTGGGCGCGGAGCGGGGCGGACGGCGGGCGGGGATGGGGCTACCAGTGAGCGGCGCCGCGGCGGCCGGGCTGGGAGCTGGAGCTGGGAGCTGGGGCTGGGGCTGGGGCTGGGGCTGGGAGCCGGGAGGAGCCGGAGCGGGAGGAGAGGAGGGGTTTCCTGAGGAGTCTCCTCCCCATTTCCTCCGGGCCGCTCGGGCGCCCGAGGGGGCGGCGCCTGGCCGGGACACCGCTTCTTTGTGTGGCGGGTCCAGTGGGCTCAGCACTGCGGAGGCCCCGGTCCCGGAGGCGGCGACCGCTGTCTCATTAGACACATCAGCTTCTCCGCTCCTCGTTAGGACGGGAAGGACCGGACAAACGAAGGAGCACAGTCTGTGGGATGTTATTCGATAGTCAAGTAAAGGGCTCTCCGCTTACTGGGGGGTGGGGGGTGTTTATATATTTATTGCTAAGTGGGGGAGACAGACTGCAGTCATTACTGGCTGTGCTGCCATTTTTATAGAAAGTAGCCTGTTTGTGTGCGCGTCCAGCTAACATTACTGAATCCGAGGAGCATCTCAACTTATCTGGCTTGGCATCCTTTGCATTGTTTTATCTGTTAGGTTTGTAAATCAAAAAGTAAGACTGTATTTCCGACAACAGGCAGCAAATGTGTTCTTTGTCCACTCCGAAGCCTCTCCCTTTCTCAAGTCCTTTCTGACAGCTGCTCCGCCCCCGCCACCCCTGTGAATTCACCCTACTTTGTGCTGTGATGTTGGTCCTACTCTGCGTTCACTTGGCCGCCCTCAGGCACTTACCCTGGGGAACGCAGGACAGAGTAATGGTGAGAACCCAGAATGTCACCAGATGGCCTGGATTCAGAGCTCAGGCTGCACTTCACAGTGCTGGCCATCTGGGCACATTCGAATTCCTCTGTGCCTTACTTTTATTGCCTGTACAAGGGGGAGATAAAATTAGGACCTCGAGTAAAGATTCATTGGAAGGCTTAAATTAGCAAGCAGATACTTGTAAAGTTCTTGGCTCCATATCTGGGATATGGTCACATAGAAATTCACGTTGTCATCCTAGGAGCTGCTATTTCACATTTCGGAAAAATGCATGCCTTTTGGTCCTGACTATAGTTTTGGCCGCAATCCAAGCCAGATGTCCTTTCTCCATCCCTCTTCCACCCCTGCCCCCATGGAGTCACGTGGACGCTAATCAGGAGGAGTATAGGGGAGGCAGGCTCAGAGGCAGGGTTTGCAGAGGGAAAGGCTGGAACAGAAATCAAGAGAAGCTGCACTCAAGTCTGCCCTCGGGTTCACCGACACAGCCAGCCCTCAGTTGGCATCTCCGGGCTCCGCCGTCTCAGCTAAAAGGGGGGGAGGGCTGGTGATGGCTGAGGAGTCCTTTTCTAGGGTTCTGGAAATGGCAGGTCTAATCATCACAAGTCAAAATTTGGCAATTTTGTTTCATAACACAATTTAACTTTCAAAACAGCTACGTGCTAATAGACACATAATTAAGAAGAGGGCAAAGTGTATCTAGCTATCTACCGATCGATCTGTCTGTAGGATACAGTCTAACACGCTTCTGGGAGCCGGCGCATTCGATTTGGCGGTGGAGGGGAGAGGTTCTCGCTGTCTGGCTTCGTTTTCCAGAAAAGGAGGGAGGAAGAGAGTGCGGGGGGAGGGGCGCAGCAGCAGAGGTGACAAACGTCAGCTTCTGAGAAATCGGATTGTATTCTATTCCGCACGGACCTGCACCTCTGACCTATTTCATTCGGACGAGAAGAAATGCAGCACCAAAAAAAAA